ATATAAGTGGTAAAAAAGCAATCTGGGACAAAACTTTAAAAAAGAAATTTATACTTTTTAAACTTTGTATTGTATTAACTTGTATTTGTGGAAGAAAATCTCTTCACCAGTTCTTCTTCAACTCAAAATAATATGATATTGTATATTGTAGGGCTGCAACTAATAATTGTATTCACTATGAATTAATCTGCCTTATTTTAATACATTAATTGTATTAATTGGGAAAATGTCAGACAAAAGTGACAAATACCATCACAACTTCCCAAAACCCAAGGTGACCTCTTCAAATTGCTCATGTAGTCTGACAAAAGGTTAAAAATGTTCCATTTAAGATAAAGAAAATCAGCAAATCCTCACAAATAAGAAGGTAGAACCAGGTTAAGTAAAAATGACTCTCATTATCAAAACATCTGCAAATTAGTACCGGTTGATTAATCGACTAATTGTTTCAGCTCGAATAAATTGTTCTGTATATGCCTTTTCAGACTTCCAGTACATTTGAATATCACAGTGGATGGGGTCCGTTTTTAGCGATGGAGATGGCGTGATGTATCAGTGTGTCAGAGTGTATTAGGAGGAGCGGGAGATGGACAGGACTGAAGGAGGAAATGACCGAGAGAGATGATTCTCTGCTCTCACTTCTGGTCTGAAGGAATGCATTACACCACTGTGGTCTATGTTTACTATGCACTGCCTTGACTATGAAGTAAAAACCAGTTCTGTTTATAGACACAGGCTAGTTGAACAGGAGACATGGAGATGGTGAAACAAAGCAGTAGGTCAGTGGAAGCTCGCTATATAGGTCAGAGATATTGGCAGTTTGACTTGACTCTAAGATTACAACATAGGTTAAAACTTGGATGATCAATCAGCTTGCACTTTCTGAAGCCAAACTCTGAGCAAAGCTAGAGCAGCCCTTTATTTCTCTATTGAGCAGTGTGTACTGAAGCTGGAACACAGTGACCTTGTACCTTTTTAGTGAGCCATATTTTTTTTTTATTTTTTTACAGGATTTCAGTCGTTCTTGTACGGCCCCCCAATGGTGAGAACAGTCATATGGCGTCAGTCTTTACACGTGTTCTCCTGTTGCCTCAGCTGGCCCACAAAGGGTTAATTCCCCCTCAGAAGTGCTCAGGTTTCTCGTCAGCTGCCTGTACCCTCAGCTGTTTGTCCTCTCTATCACTCCCCTATCCTGTCCCCTGTCCCCCGTCCCCTGTCCCGAACCTCACACAGGTCTCACTCTGCTTCCCCTGCCACACACAGACACAGTCTCCGCTACTTACTGTGGCTAAAAAGCGCTACTTGCTACCACGCCGCTGTTAGCTTTCTAGACTTACTTTATCTCCCGCGTCACACAGAACTGCTTTCTTGATTTATTTTACCTTTCAACATGATTTGCATTGATATCTGTAAGCTCTACGCCAATGTGGAGTTACTCCCATTTATCTTGTTTAGTTTATGTGAACATTAATGAAAGAACTATGACTTTAACCAAAATTGGAGAATGAAGCTGTGGTGACAGCTGTGTCATGGTAATCACCCTGTGATGAATAACATGCCTAATAGTTGGACAGTACATGGAAGATGGATCGTCGCTGTGTGAATTTATTCCTTTTTTTTGAATGTTTTCCTTTTTGGTTGAAACAACAATTGAGTCCAACTGAGTCCTCTGTGTGGCCCTCCCCCTTTCCAGCTGCTGTTTAACTAAAGAGGTAAAGGACCTTGGACTGTCAGAGTCCCTCAGCAGGGCCAGGATCTGAGCTGCAGGCCGACTAACTAACTGCTTAGCACTGTAGTTTGGGTTTTGTATACCCTTGTGGATTCAGAGCAGCCTGTATAAGACACCACCTGCTTAGCCATCTGCACACCATGAAGCCCAGAAGACTCGGGAGTTAACTGCGACACTTTGATTATTTGTTAGTTTTTTAAACTTGTATCAAATAAAATATTTTGTTCAGTCATTACAGTGAGCCATACTGGTAGCAGACTATCTTTAATATTAAGATATGAGCAGAACGTGGCTGAAGACTCGAGCCAGCCCTTACAGTAGTTCCACTTGCATGTTTGCATGGTAGTGTGTGTTTGGAAGGCCTTATCAGTGGAGTCCATGCTGGATCCTCCACCTCTCACCCATGTAATCAGTCACGTATAAAAACCAATAGTGCTTTGCTAAGAGAGGTTGGCCTAGCCTGCTTCTATCCTACCTCTCTGTTATTAATAATGAATGTGTAGTCAGAATTTCAAGCCACACACCTGTCTGCTGTGACACATGAATGTGTTTCCAGATCAACCTAAACCTGTATTATTCACTCACCTCATCAGTTATACTGCTGCACTGTGTGTGCTTGGAATCTGTGACATAAAAGCTTTGTCCCAGTTCTGAGGTAGAATCCTTAAAAGGACAAAGCTGGCAAAGGTGTGTCCTTCAGAGGACTGGAGGTGTATGCCTCCTGGACCGACGAATGAAGCCAACGGGAAGTGGCAAAAACAGCAGTTCCATGACCGGCCACTTGAGCAGAAAGAAACACCTTTACAGCCTGGTACAAAAATGGTTTGGGTTTCTATAGCTAATTTCCCAGTTCAGTTCAACAGTTTGGGGGGATCATTTTTATAAATTAATATTAAGTCTTAAAGTTATGCATAATTAAGGACATACACGCTTTAATTGACGGATGGATGCCATCGCTTGTGGCTGGTTTTAGCAAGCAGACTTCATTTGGCCCACCCCAGATCCTCCCACGCACCACATCTTTGCCCATTTTTGGATTAGCTTGGAGTGCCAAGCTAGAGCTGACCACACAATGACTCTTCAGATGTCACATAGTCTACGTCCATATTTTATACAGTCCATGGTCATGGCTGAACCTGCACCTTCTCACCAAATGATATGGTCCATCCTCAAAGTGAAAAAAAGGGTTTTTTTTAACTTGTAACATCAAATCTCTACACTTTTGTCACCAGGAAATTGCCACTGGGAAACTGAAGATTCTATGGTACCATAGTGCGAGTTGTAACATTTCAGTTCAATATGTGATGAACCACTAACAGTAGTGTACCAGGTTAATAATTAATACAAATACAATACAAAATATATTTATCTGTATTGCCCTGTGATTAAGTTTGGGGACACAGAAGAGACACTTGGAAAAAGGAATTGTCAAACTCAAACAAGCAGAGAGGTGGAGAGATCCTGACTCTTAGTCCCTAGTATGGGCCAATCCCCAACAAGTCTGAATCCTACAGTTCCCATAATGCCACTACTAGACCACTACTAAATGCTAATGTCTTTCGACATTCTTTTAAAGAATTTGAAGTCTCATAACTCAACCCCAGATAGATTGTTTTGCAATCACATGTTGCAGTTTCTTTATTTATTTAAATTTTTTGAATAAACAGGAAGATGAAACAGAAAAAGTTAGTCCCCTACGCATTCACACAGACATTATACTGATGGGAAATGCATATCATAGATTGTGTGAGAGAGTCATCCTCTCCATACTATGAACAGTAACCATCGGATTCCAGCTTTCTTGCTGGCTGCTATTAATATCTTTCGTGCAATGGCTTTTTCATTGGTCTATACAGCAGACAGGACCAGGGATTGCACAATGCACAATGCATTATGGGATACTGAAGACTGGAAAAGATATACCGGTTGTATCCTCCAAAAAGAGTAAGCTGCATTTCTTGGCCAGATTTTGAGGAGCCTTTGCAATGGGACAGTCCATAATGATGTCCTCTGTTCCTCACGGACACAGCATATGTATTCTTGTTGGACTCGCAGCTCCCATTCATTCTCGAAGGGCCATTCCTCCTTCCTGCTTTAACATAACCCGATAGGGAATATTCAGCAACGTCTGTTTAATCAAACCCTCAAAGAACATTGAACCCACTGGAACATGCTACCTCCTACATGCCTTCTAATATGCAGGCTTATCCCCATTCGGCTACTACAGATCATTATTATCAAGTGGTAAGTGTTTGTATAAGTGCGTAGAAACAGGCATGGTGGGTTTAGATGTGCTTTATAGTCCCGGCCTAACGCCTACCCTGCTCTCTTATCACGCAGCCCACTCAGCAACACATCCTGCTCTGCTGTTCAATGGATGTTCAGATTAGCGTATGGTGTGATTCTACGTCTCGCTTCCTTTTTGATCTTAAGTTTATGTGAGCGTCTCATCTGCCTGATTGCCACGCCTTTCACTGAGACGTCATGTTAGTTATAGGCAGTTAGTTGTCATCGTTACTTAACTTAGACTCTAGAATCGCTCCAGCACTGATTATTATTTTACATATGGATGCAATTAGAGGGGTCGCAGCCTGTTTCCCTACCTTGTTTATGCCTTTTTGCCCTGAGTCAATTAGACCCGCTCTGGTTTCTGTCACCCATCCATTGATCCCTGAAAGTACTGCGAGTATTACAACCTCCTCCTCCTCCTGGCTACCACGCTTTCAGCTGCTCAAAGGGGAAAAGCCCCATTAATGCTGTTGTTTTAGGTGTCCTCATACAAGACTTGTGTTGCTTTTGCAGTCACTGGAATAAATGGGTTTTAGAAGTACTGGTGCATCAGTCAAATATAGTATCTTAAAGGGCCACACCGCTGATTTTACATGATGAATGAGTGAATGATGGGATGATGTCATCTTTCTCCAGGGTTATCTTGAATTTGGCCCGAGGTGCAAACTGTAGCTGTGGGGATTAAAACATTTACCAGCCAGGGAAGGCCAAACAAAAGACACTATTGAGTTGCATTATGGGAATTGTAGGAGCCAGTGTTTTTGGAGCTTGATCAGTAAGGAGTCTGAATATCTCGGCTTCTGCGACTTAAATTTTTCACCATTCTCTTACAACCGTCTCTTGTGAGTCCCTTAAGTTTATGGAAGTGCAGTATAAAATTCACAGCTCAGTCTTCTTCTTCCTTGACAGAATCCAATGTTAATATAATTTCATCAAACGATCTCCCCCCGCCTTCTTACTCAGTGTTTGCTTTTCCCCACAGGATACACTGAAGCCGACGTTCACGGTAGCCAGCCTACCGGGCACTACCAGCAGCGCCCAGTCCACAGTACCCACCACCTCCACCACCATGCAGGTGAGCAGTGGAACTTCGTTTCCCATCACCAACTACTTGGCGCCCGTCTCGGCCGGCAGCAACATCAGCGCCAACGGTACCGTCCTCAAGACAGCCGGCGGCTCCACGGGGGTCATGCAGCTGCCCAGCGGCTTCACTTTCATGCCTGGTAAGTAGCAGAGCAAAACCCGGGGTCTTTACATCAACATCCAGAGCTCCGTTACAATTCTAAATTATTTTCTTTATGGTTTGTTTGTCTTAACCTCCTCCTCTAGAAACGAAATGACACCTCTGCAGGGCTTCATGTTTCGTTAATGTCACCGTGTTGTTTAGCTTATTAGCTGATTAGAATTTGAATGGCACCGCAGCGTGACCTCAGCCGTCATCTCGGGGTGGTCGTGCCTCTCTCTCTCGAAGCTGTTTACATCACACAACAGCCCTTCATAGCCAGTCACTAACACTCAGCGCCCTCGGGTTCTACAAAGCCCCCAGCATGCAGGGAAGCCACGTATATTGGCGACTGGCCCTGCCTTTGATTGTCACTTGGGGACAGGAATAATTAGGTGAGAGGGGCACAATAGACCTGGCAGTGAGGGCTGACGAACACGGTCCATAATTAGTCATGAATATTCAATGAAGGATCGGTGGCTTGTGCTGAAATTATAATTGAGGCGTACTTTGTGGAGCCGGAGCTTTGTGACAGAGTGGTCCTGAACTAGACATGACCCTTCATTAAGGAGGACTTGACAGACACACTCTTAAACACAAGGGATCTCTACCACAACAACTCAATGAGGACTTTGGGGCAGCAGGCTCTGATTTGGGGATCCCTAAAGTGTTTCTAAATTGCCTTTCCCCACTAATTATTCATTAAACTTACTTTTCATGGTGGATGCACTGGATAATACTCGGGCTACATCTGTGGGTCTCCAAGTGGGGCCTGGGGAGGCCAAAAGGTCACGGTTTTCCCCAAAGATGTGAAGAATATTTAAATCTCAAAATAATTTGATATGATCTTTATAAGAAGCTCAGTGCTCGGGTTTATTTCTGTGGACTGTCTGTGACATGAACAATTTAAAAAAAGGCTGGTTGACACTTAAATGCTGCTGACTCTGCTGCAATCTTCTACAGTGTGTGTTGTTATTATGTGGACAAGAGTCTCTGTTGGAGCTGTGAAGCCGAACAGGCCCAGTGCTCGTCAGTGTTGTCTCTTCTAGGAACTGGCAGTAATGTCAGTAGCTGGTTGTTTCAGTGTGTTGGTTGTCTGCACTGTGCCACAGCTGAACGGACAGACACATGATGCCCACTAATGGGTCCTGTATGTTATTTTGACTGGCAGCTGAAGGACAACACCCCCCTCCTCCCCATACCCCCACTTTTCTTTCTACATCTTTCTCTTCCTTCTACAACCTTCTCTCACCCTCTCTCTCTTTCCACCGTCTCCCCCCTCCCTCTCTCTCCCTCCCTCCCTCTCTCTCTCTCCCTCCCTCTCTTCTGCTGGCTCACTCCCTCTCTCCTCTTCACCACCTGTCTGGCACATAGCAGCAGTGCCAGGTGGAACAACACACCCTCCCACACTAAAACCTCCTAAGTTGACAGCTTGACGGGGCCTGCCCACCCCCCCACAGCAACTGTCCATGGAGCATATGACCAAATGTGCGGGTGTAACAAACCCACAATGACACACACCTTTACAGTTAGGAAGTATTTGATTGGTACTCGTCACATAACAAATTTACTTATTCATTTGTACATCTCCTAAAATCACTCGAACACATGTGTTTGAGTGCTTTAAAATGTCAGCGTGCCAGCCAACCACTTAATCACCACTTAATACCGTCATGCAGTATGCGTCACTTGACAGAGCTATCATGTATGTATTAAAACTGTATTAAAAGTGTTTTTTTATTACACAAAGCAGTATTTTATTATGTAAACATTACTCTACAGTGTAACACCGATTTAAAGGTACCCTGTGGAGTTTTTGCCCACTAGTAGCACTATGAAGCAAAATTTTCACAGGTGGGTCCCTGTTTTGTTTGTATTGTGCACAAGGGCACAATTTATTTTATCCTGCTGTGTGTTTCAGGCTGCTCGGCTGATCGACATTTGGTGTCGACAAAGCGAAAAACACATGGATCTCCATGTGAACGTGGATGTAAACAAAGCATTTAAAATATATATTTTTTTGCACTTTATTTTCTTTTCTGAAGAATCAGAAGAAAAGCACTTAACATGTTTCTGAGACCTCGGTGTTAAACAATGTGTTTTAATGAGAAACAGAGTAAACAACCGTTAACAAGAACTCCACAGGACACCTTTTCATATCTATTACTTGAAAATTAAAATGACTCGTATTGCTGCTCTTTTTTTTGTTATCCAGCCAATGACCTAGAACTTACTCGATGGATGATATTACATGTTTGATTACAACATCTGCTGCCACCTTTATATAAGTCTTGGGCAACTGAAGGTTGTTGATTTCTCCAACAGTGTGCCGTACAAATGTGTCCTGGCTAAAATTAAGCTGTTAGCACTTTTTCAAACTGTACTATCCTTTCGCATTTAGTCTTATTCCCCCCCTGTGTGTGTGCCCCTCCAGCAGGCACTCCTCTCCCCCCTGGCACCCCCACCATTCCTTTGAGCCAGCTGCAGCAGCACTCCCTGGCCCTCCAGGGGCAGCATGGTCAGGCCCTGGCCGCCGCCCCGCAGCCACAGCAGGGACAGCAGGCTGTCTTCCGCTTCCCTGCTGCTGTCTCCCTCACAGGTGACCTGCTCTGCATGCTGCCACGACTGCCTGCTCATACTAATCATAATCACATCATCATAAAGCTGCTAATGCTACCTCTTCTGCTGTGACTAATAATGATGCACCTCATGCTTGGATCACTAATGCTACTTGTGCAATGACTTCTTCTCCCTGAGCTAATATTACTGCCAATGCTTCTACTGCCAGTGCTGCCATATGCCACCCTCACTGCTGCACTCCCCATACTCCTACTGCAACAAGCGCTATTCCCTGTGTGGGCTGTCTAAGCCTGTGTGACTTACTTTAGTGGCTGTATGCCCTCTGTGTGTCTCCAGGAGCGGGGGTTCCCCAGCAGCTCCAGGCTATCCAGGTCCACCCCAACACCCAGTCCACCTCCAACAGCGACAGCAGCCCAGAGATCTCCCACACCTCCTCAAACTCCACCGGTAGGTCCAATCACCTCTCAGAACAAAGACTGTCTCTTAAACACAGATTGCCAGAAAATTTCAAGTGTTGTATCATCAGAATTTTATAGTTTAGCCTAAAAATGCAAATATACAGCATCTCAGTGAGTGCGACACTTGGTTGCATGTTGCTGTCTCACTTTGGGCCTGACATTAGTAGAATAGTAGAAAAAACAACTTCAAAATGACATTGTGTTGTATTATTCCTGCTTACATTGGTTCTGTTCATTCTGCTCCTGCCTGGAAAGATTTGTGTCCTCGAGGACCGTGTTATTGTGGCACCACACACTGCATAAGTAGGAGTTTGCAGTTAAATTTAGATGGATAATAAGCACCATCTGCTGGCCAACACGCATACACACCTCTTGTCCTCAGCGTGACATGTGTTTTCTCTCCCTTCTCCCGCTCTCCTTGCAGCAACGGTGAGTCTCCCAGCAACCATCGTCACCTCGTCGGTGCCAACGTCGGTTGCGGGTCACATGATGTACCCCAGCCCCCACACAGTGATGTATGCCTCCACGCCCGGCCTGACTGACGGGGGACTGGCTGTGCTCAACGCCTTCTCCCAGGGCACCTCGGCCATGCAGGTGTCCCACGCACAGGGCCAAGACACAGGTGAGCAACACAGGCTGAAGACAAACCGTGTACTTGGTGACAAATGTGGATTTATTCGTGATTTGTAAATCATTTCAAATAATGCTCGAGAGTTTGCTGATGTACAACCATGTTGTTGTCTCCTCCCCCCCAAGGTGCTGTCCCTCAGGTGTTCCTCACAGCACCTCCAGGCACGGTGCAGATCCCTGTCTCAGCGGTGCAGCTACACCCAGTACGGCAAGATCTGCATTTTACAAGTGAAACTCTCATATTCCCTATGCAACCAGCATGTCACGTGACTGCACTAATGCATCCTAACAGAGCACTGGCACACAGGGGCCCCACAGGGTTGTCACCTGTCACCTCTTTGTATGAATGTGAATGATCAGCTGGCAGTTTGTTTTACCTGTGATTTGCAGCAAAACACACATTCAATAATAGTTAACAGACCACCACTGTAGCAGTGCATGGAAATGAAAAACTTAAATGTTTATGTACTTAAGTTAAGTCCAGTATTATGAAGATAATCATTTGTGTAAATTGGTTTAAAAATGTATAGATGTATAGGTATTTTGATTTACCAGAAGAATAATACACCCATCCTTATAGTCTTACTTGCACTCTACAGAATATTATTTCAGTGCTTAAATAACTTATATAAATAACAATAATTACAGAGCACATTACAGCTTTGCCCGACCCCACGATAAACAGCATGTAGTGTAGCAGGGTTTCCATCTGTGCTGGGTGCTGTGTGATGTGATGACTTGTGATTGGCTGTCTGATGGGCCCCGTGCTGTCTCCTGACGTAGCTGTGTTGTGTTCCAGATGGTGATTGGACAGCAGTCGAGCGGCAGCAGCAGTAACCTGACAGAGCTACAGGTAGTCAACATGGACGTGCCACAGAACTCAAAGAACGACTGACAGACTGCTAGAGCTGGTTAACAGGGCAGACCCAGGGACACACACAGACAGACTGACTGACTGACATCTCTATTTATTGATGCCTTCCTACAGAGTTTCACATTACACTTCTGAATGTGACTTTAAAGTACATATATACACACAATCAAGGGCGTATGTGTGGCTGACCCTTATACAGTATACAGTATGTTTTGGTATATAAATATATATATATATATATATATATATATATATATATATATATATATATATATATATATATTCGCAAATGCATAGGAAATATATCACTACATCCATCATCGGAAGCTATTTTCTATGCCGTTAGATGGTGTTATTTTTTTCTTGTGTGCGTGTGTTTTTTTGTTATATTTTTGAAAATGTGTAATTACATGTGTATACACACACATACACACACACTGCAAGGTGCCACAGCTTCACACCAGCCAAAGAGACATTTGTTTGTCTGAATGTTCCAGTGTGAGCAACTTGTGCACAAGTGTGTGCCTCTGTGTGCGTGCGCATATCTGGGGTTTGTAAATGGGTGGGGAGACGCTTATTGACTTAAAAAAAGAGACATTTGGAAATGTACATATTTTTTATTTTAATTGATAACTTGTATTTTTAGCCTGGTTTAGTTTGTGCAACGGCATGTAGTTGTTTTTTACGTAGTGGTTTTGTATGTACATGAAAATGATTTGCATAAAGAAGATTTACACGTATATGTAAATTAATTTAATATACCATCATATGTTGTCATGCTGTTGGGAGTTTTCACTACAAGATGGAGAAAGAACGCTGGATGTTTTTCTACATTTTCTGATTGTGACATCTGTAGGACTTCAAACAGGATCCAGTAGCCGGGTCACAAAACAAAGCATAAGATATTTATGATTTATAATCTTTAGGGAAGAATTCAGTGCAACAGCTAATGTTCTGATCATTTAGTATGACATCAGTTCTGCATGTGAACCTTCGTGAAGCCCTGAACTGGCACTTTCACGAGTGTAGAAATTGTTAAAACTACGACAATCTGATGGGAAAAAAAAAAAAATATATATATATATATTTCATGTTCACACGAATATGCAGTAATGTTGATATTTTAAAATCTCAGTGACATTTAAGTTCACATTCATAAATAGCTGACTTAATCATAAGTATAGGTAACAAACCTGAGAGTGCCAAACAGGTTTTCATGACATCAGATAAATGAATTTTATGGTTATGTAATTTGTTGAAAAAGTGATCCATTGTAAACATGTCGCTCTGATTTGCCTCCACTAGACTGCAGGATGTTAATTATGTGATGCTACTACTGACTTTAGTCAGGACATTGGACACAAATCTCATTTAAGACACTGTATAGACTCTGCAATTCAACTTCGATACTGCAATCAAAGCACTAGTGTCTCCTTGAATGGAAGCTCTCGATGTTACTCAGTGCAGTCTCAATGCTGTAGTGTTACAGTAACAGTAATGAGTGTGACTATTTTTGTAAGAACAAGGATCTCTTAATTTGGAAAAGTGACTTCAGGTGCTTTAAAATATGAATTAACTCCTTTTAACTAGAACTGTAAGACCCTAGCTGACTGCAATCTCAGTATGTACCTCAGCAATCATTAAGAGTTATTAGACTGAGAGCCTTCTTTCTGCACCATAGTGCCTCTTTTCCATGGCTGATATCTAAATCACTGCAAGGCAAGGTAAATGTAGGATTTACTTATTTCCTGAACACCTCACATGACTCTGGACCTTGTCATACAATCCTCTGCTGTGGCCAGAGAGTGAGATTTTTGACTCATTTCTACGAGATTAGCTGGATGACCGAGCATGGCTGGCTTAGAGCCAAAGAGAATCTGACAGAGGATAAAGTACCCATTTGGACTGCTGTTCAGTTATTCACTGGTAAGAGGTCATTCTCACGCTCACTGTTCTCTGGTCTGTTCCTGTACATGATGTCATGTCATCCTGCAGGGCTCTTTGCATAGGAAAATTACAAGTTAATGACATTCAATCCCCCTGTGTTATCGGATCTTTTTCAAAAATATTATTTTAAGAGGGGATTACTGAACAGAATTTGTGGTTTTCACCTTGTCATAGAAAGAAATGGTTATATTGTGTATTTTTGTTTTGTTGTACAGACATTTTGTAATAAAAGCAAGATGAAACACAATGAACTGTTCAAAGAATGACTGAATCTCCTGCTGAAGAACGTTTTTCTTTTTTTAATTGGGACGGAGAATGTTAAACAAAACCATTGTCCTGAATAAACACACAATAGTGTTGAAATGAAGACAAGCTGATGAGGAATAAATGAGCCAATGCCTCAGAGAATAAGAGACTGCAGTGATTGCGTACAATTACTGTGTTAGGCATTGGGAGGCAGGAGGAGTGAGCATGCACCTTACCTTAATGTTTCAATTATGCATTGCACAATCACAAAATCAAACTGGCCATGAGATAAGAAGACGTGTAATGAGACTCGTCCCATGTCACGCCAGAGGAAAGCAGCGTTGAACATAAAAGAAATGCAGCAATATCATACAGTGATTGGTCTAAGCTGACACAAGGAAATATATCAGTTGGCATCAGATTTATGACTATACGGAGAGTCCTGTACATCTTCACAAACCAAATGCAACACGAGATAGGAATAATAATTTCACAACAAACTGCGGTGAAGCAGAAACCCCTTACACATCAATTCCAAGAGTCCTCAGAGATCCACAGTGTGAAGTAAGGCATCATATCTCCCTGTCAGTGTCTTCAAAGAACAAAGTGCTGACAGCTAAGAAATCATCACAGATGGCTGGACTGCCTTTTTTCCTTTCTTTCAACAATGAAAAATAATGTAGAAGCATGCATTTACGCCAGGTAGTATATCTCTATTGCTATTGTACACATACAATATACAAATGTACAGAACAAGTTGGAAAGATAGTTGATTAAAAAATGTGCATGATCGATAATTTAAAAAAAGTTTCCCATTAAAATAGAAATGTTACTCCTGGTACATCCTAGATTTTGTTTTTTTTTTTTTTTGGTTTATGAAACAAAACATTTTTGGAAAAAAGAAAAAAGCTTCTTGTTGTGTATATTTACATTATGAACAGGGATGAAGAAAGACAATGTGCAAATCTGATTCCATGCAAGCAGTTGCATAATGTAGTTCAGGTGCTTGAGTGATGGGTTTGAGGTGGGTGCAGAACAAAGAGGGGAAAGAAAACATGGCTTCAATGAATTAATCTGTCCATTCTCCACCGCAATAATAAATCATTCACACTCACACATAAACAAAAGTCATCGGCAAACACGCTCACCAATCATGGAAACATTCACGCAGGGGACATATCACAAGAATCAAACTTACAGTAAGTAGCATCTTGATTTTAGACTGATTCAAATCTTAGGAAACGAATCACTGATCTGTGAGACTTCAACCGAACGACCCGTTCCAACAATGCACAGCACCGCGAGTACGCTTCCTCGTCATTTAAAGACCAGGATGAAAAAGGTAATACTGCTTAGTAAACGTAACACCTCATAGGAAGTCATGCTAACCTCTGGAGGAACGTAGAGGTCTTAGGATACTGTACGGCCAGTGGTTTTCTAACTGGGGGGGTCTGGACCCCTCCAAAGAGTCTTGAGATAAATTGAATAGGTTTACTACAAAACAGGCTTATTTTTCAGACTTGATCATTTCAAATAAAAACACCTGCTTGAGAAGTTAGAATCACATAATGCTTGAACTGTTAACAACTTACCAGCTTAGTTTTAGGAATCAAAAGCCAATAAAAGGTCGGGAGGAGGCTACAGTATGTCCTAACTGAATGACTTTAAGACACTGATAAATAAAATTAAGAGGTGTGTTCCTCTGCATCCCTCCCAACAACAGAATAAACTAATTATTGACTATTATAAATGGTGTAATAACAATAACATAATATCCTTTGGATAAAATAAACACTGGTGGGTGAGAAATGCAACACTGGATCTGGAGAACAACATTTCCGAACTAATGTGGAATCAAAAACAACATGTCTCTTCCCACAAATGCCAACTTGACATTTCCTAAAAGCCAGCCAGAAGACAAAGCATGACTGAACTTGAATAATGTAACGAGTGCAATGCAATGAGTTCTGTGTGCAAATTCACATCATTTGCAAAATTCACCATTTCATTTGACAAAACGTGACGGGTGGTGACATCTTTGGGTGATTACTGATGCGCTTTGAGAGCACAAGCACTTAAAGACAAACGAGGAAAACAAATTAAGTATTCTGCTTAGACAGTCTTGGACTGTTTTAAATTCATTTTATCTTAATATGACATTAGTTAAAAAGGCAACCTGAAAGCAAATAAATAAGAGGACTTGGCATATAAAACATGAGTGCAGTATCGTAAATACTGCAGTTCAATATGTATGTAACTACAGGAACATATAGGGGTTGAAGGTAGTGGGCATTTCTCTCTACAGGCTCTTGTCTTCAAACAGACAACACGTGACGAGTTGAGATAAAAATGTTTCAAAAGGAAACAATCTTCTGTAACTGAAAGGTGTGGTTCCACACTAAGGCAATGATGTTTACAAATGGGTGACGATGGGACAGGAAATAAATACACAAACATCTTTTCTCCTTGATATCATAATTACAGGGCTATCATCTTTTGGCTGGTGAGAAAGAAGGATGGTCGGGGGGAGTGAGAGAAAACGCAGAGGCTGAAAAGAGTCCAGTGACCATCTCTCAGCACCTTAACCTCTATCCTCCCTCCTCTTCTTCCTCTGCTGGCTGGGCAGTGTCTGTGCTCTGACCTGCTCAAAAACAAGACCAAAGACTTTTTTTTATGGTGGAGCCCGAGAGGCCAGAAGAGGGGGAGTGATGAAACCCGTCTGTGTGGGTGTTAAACAGTCTTGCAGGGATGAGCAGTTAGTGGTAATGTTCTGCAGACCCTGTGCCACCGGTACCAGCACACCCCGAAAGGCCCAGTTTAATTTTGACGATGAACAGCAGGAAGATTACGGCGAGGAGGAGGACGCTGCGTGGTATTTGACAAAGGCGATGGCTGCCAGCTCTTTGCAGAACTCCTCTAGCACGATCACGCCCTCCAGAAGAGTCATGTGGTCAATGCTACAGGAAGAAAAGGAGAGAGAAAGTTGAGTGCAGTCCAATAGTCAACTCAGAAAATAAGAGCACAGAACCACTTGGAAGCACGTACGTGATGCCCTCTGGTTCTAGACCCAATAGTCTCTTCCTCACGAGCAGCAGTTTGGGTGTGAAGTCTGGGATGCGCTGAATCCTCAACATGAGATCTCCCACCACCTAACACGTGTACAAGAACACAAACCAATTACCAAAACACAAACAGCACTGCTTCCATGCAACATAAACAGGCAACACTAGTTTATCATACTACACTCACTGGAGACATTGTTCTTATTAGCATTAACAAATAAGACCATCAACAAGAAAATTAGCCGCTTCCACTCGCCTAAAACTGCCATTTACTGTGTGTGTGCTACTGGGATTGATTTCACACAAAGCAGTTGGGCTGATTCACAGAAGAAAAACAGGTACAAAGGTGCAGTTCTTCAGTAAGCAGCAGGTTGAGTAGCAGCATGCTCATGAGATTACCGGTAATAGCTAGTGAGTTTCACATAAACACTTGTTCTATCAATAACACTGGAATGAGATCACAGCCAACAATTGTCTCAAACAAGATTTGTTGCACATAACATTTTAGAAGAATACCATATAAAACAGTGCATTAGACTAAACATAACAAAAAAACATCAATCATGGGAAGCAAGAAATCTCAAAAGCACCCAAATAACAGTAATTGTAAGCTTTGAGCTTGGCAGTATCTGCTGTTAATGGCCAATAAGATAACCGCTATGATCTAGACAGGAGTCTTACCCTGACGATGACAGAGAACAGAGACCTGCAGCCAGGGGCCAGGTTGATGTAAGGGTCCAGCAAGTACTCGTGCAGGTGGGGGTGTGGTAACAAAGACAGTTTGGACAGCACAGCAGTCACCTGCAGGTTGACATCGTAGGGCTGGAGGACAGAGAGGGCATCAGATATAAAACTACACAGGAAATAAACTGTAGATTAGAGTGAACTGGCAACTTTCTGTTTCCCATGGAACATAAGTGTGTAGGAGAATAAATAACACAAAGCGTCACAGTAGTCAGAAGCTTTAATGACAAACTCATCAATTAATAACGCACTCCCCTTTTAGAATTGATTTCCTAAATGCTACAAGAAACCCATGAGCTGCCAAAAAGTGCATTTCACTTCTGAATCTCTATTAGTCATCTTCACAATTCCCATCTAACATCATCTGTCAAATGAGTTTATGGCTCATTATTTTTGTTTTATTATTAAAAAAGAAAAAAAATAGAAAAAGAAGTTTCTGCATAATCAGCAGCTCATTTGCATTTTCTCCCCATTTTTCTCTCCACTTTCCATTAGTGGACCTCATTTAAACTAAATAATAACTTGTTGGTGTATGGGAGCATTAAATCTGAGTGGAAATCGATTTAAACGTATCTGCTGCTTTAACAGAAGATATGATGGCACCTAGTTAGATTTTTGACTTATGACAATGTTTGAAATATTGTGCAGATTTGCATGCAGAAATCTTTATTTATTTAATGGAATTTGGTTGTACATGTAAAGCTAGATTTACCAGCTCAAAACATTTTTCAAAAACATTGCAATGGAAACTTGCCATTTGAGATTATTTTGTAATTCATTGGAGCTGTATATTTCCATCCACTAAAAGACAGCTTAATTTAGATTTGAGCAGTAGTTACAATTTGATTACAACCAAAGCTGCATTTGTGATCTCCAGCTGGGACTTTCACTCAGATTTGTGGACTACTCAAGCTTAAACAACGCAACAGACATTTCAACATTTAAGCATGTGGTTGTTCTGAATGACGCCAATATTACTACAAAAATTCAACTGTATGGCAGATCACACTGACCTGATCTAGGATGCGACCCATCCTGTCGAAGAGAACCTTGAGGAAGTGGCCCTCGAAGAATGGGATGTCCAAGTTACACTTCTCAAAAGGCTTTGGATTTCCTCTCCAGTCCCACCGCTGGCAGACCCCACAATAGTCCCTGAACTGAGAAGAACAATTCATCTCCACTTAGTATGTGTTAT